TACTCTAACCTGTTCCTCTCCACTGTTAGCTATACTCTAACCTGATCCTCTCCACTGTTAGCTATACTCTAACCTGCTCCTCTTTACTGTTAGCTATACTCTAACCTGCTCCTCTTTACTGTTAGCTATACTCTAACCTGCTCCTCTTTACTGTTAGCTATACTCTAACCTGCTCCTCTTTACTGTTAGCTATACTCTAACCTGCTCATCTCCACTGTTAGCTATACTCTAACCTGCTCCTCTCCACTGTTAGCTATATTCTAACCTGCTCCTCTTTACTGTTAGCTATACTCTAACCTGCTCCTCTCCACTGTTAGCTATACTCTAACCTGCTCCTCTTTACTGTTAGCTATACTCTAAACTGCTCCTCACCACTGTTAGCTATACTCTAACCTGCTCCTCTTTACTGTTAGCTATACTCTAACCTGCTCCTCTTTACTGTTAGCTATACTCTAACCTGCTCCTCTCCACTGTTAGCTATACTCGAACCTACTCCTCTCCACCCAATACTCTCATCCATATCAAACAATTGCCCTTCCCAACTTCGCCCCTCTTCAAGTTACCATGTTGATTCCTCTCACCTGGCTAGAATGACTTCATCAGTGTTATGGTGATGCTGGCAGCAGAGCAGACAAGCTGTGTGTGTGGGTGTCATCTTTGACACACATCTTTGTTTTTAATTATTATCAATCCTCTTCAGAATGCTTCGTCTGTCTCTCTTGGCGTTTCTGTTTTAATTTTTCCACTGAGGTGTGTGGAAGTACGTGCGTGTGTGTGTGTGTGTGTGTGTGTGTCTCCCCTAGATTTTGTGACCCCTCTGCTCCTCACCTGGAGCCACCTCTCCCCCTGTCACTCACACACAGGATTACCCACCTACCCCCCCCCCCCCCCCTCGACCCAGCGCTGTCAATCATTCGCCAGATTAAGCACTGACATCATCAAAGCGCTTTTGTCAGAGCAGAGGAATGCAGGCGTGCACAGAGGGACGTGGACACGGGCACAACAATGTCCAGTATAGGCAAGACAATGTGTGTGTTGTTACACCCCTGCTCATACTGTTTGCCTTGGATGTTGGCTACAGAAACCAGGCCTAATATTATCACTTCATAATATAGTCTCTTTGGGCCCTAGATGTTATATTTTGGAGTTTTCTGGCTTGACTGTCAGGTGTTTTTTATTCTGGGGCAGTAAGGCTTGGCTTACTGGGGCTGTGGTTGGTGGGTTTAGGCTGTGTTTTGGCACTGTTCCCTGATTCCCTATAGGAGTACTAAACAGCTTCTCTCTATAGGAGGAAACGTTGGCCTCTTCATGATGTTGTCACAGCAACAGGCATGTTACCACGGTTCCCTTCCCACTGGGGCCCAGAGGTCTGATAAACGGTGCTGGGACGTCTCTGACACACAGACAGCTGACAGACAGACAGACAGGCACGCAGGAAGTGAGTCAGGGATAAACGTGTGAGAGAAATAGAAAAGGAGAAAGACAACAGGAATGAGTGACTGACTGACTGACCGACTGACTGACTTGGTCAGGAAGAGGAGGAGAAATAGAGGGAGGGGGAAGAGGACAGAAGAGTGGGATTGTGCAAGGCCAACAGTGGAAACTCACAGTAACAATGAGGTTTATTTATCTTAGATAGCACCAATGCTGAAAAGACCCAAGTCCTAGGTCAATGGACGAGAGGAGAGAAAGAGAGATTGGGAGAAGGGATAGAAATAAGCAGGGAGAGAGGGATGAGAGAATAGAGAAAAGCATGCTGGGACGTAGGGAAAAGCATGCTGGGACGTAGGGAAAAGCGAGAGACAGAGAAAGAGGGAAGCACCAAAGCAGGGAGCAACTTTATTCTATGGTCTTAGGGTGTTTTGTGAGGGTGGGCAACTTGACTTTGGGGTTAGCACTCTAGCCCTCCGTCCACCACCCCTCCCCACGGCCCCACTTGGCCGGCGAGCCTCGTTCTGGTGCCAAGAATGTGCCGGCGTTTCTGGGTGGCGGCCATATTGGAAGCCTGTCTGACAGGTCCATTGTGCCCGTGTCAGATGGCCTCTGTGATTGGGCAGTTGTGTCCAATCACGTTTGGCGGCTGTGTTCCGACGGTCTGTGCTGGTGAGCAGACTCCTGTCCTGTTGGGCTGCTAGGGTCTGTTAACGCCACTGTTTTGTTTACTACCACAACGTGAGGGGTTTTAATCACCAGCAGAAATATAACATGTCTTCTCTACGGTCATAGACATATGCCCAATATTAAGGAAAAAATGCAATGATAAAATGTGTTTAAGTTAAAAATGCTATGAAATTTGTAATTTCAACAACATATTATATTCCTTACATGCACTGTATATATCAAGACTCTCAGTATCTTTCTCTGTCTCTGTTTCTGTCTCTGTCTCTCTCTCTCTCTCTCTCTCTCTCTCTCTCTCTCTCTCTCTCTCTCTCTCTCTCTCTCTCTCTCTCTCTCTCTCTCTCTCTCTCTCTCTCTCAGACCAAGTCACGGAACATCCTACGGATCGGGCTGCACTCGCTCGGCTCCGCCCTATGGGGTGACGACCTGTGTTGCCGTGAAAACCCCAGGCACGGCCACGCCCTCACCACCTTCCTTTACGGCCTCCGGTCCATGCTGAGGTCATCGCTCTCTGTCGCTGTGGTTACCGTGCCCTCACACCTCATCCAGGTAAGAGTACGTGCCGTGCACTAAGAGAGAGTGTCGCAAAGGGCACATACAGTGGGGAGAACAAGTATTTGATACACTGCCGATTTTGCAGGTTTTCCTACTTACAAAGCATGTAGAGGTCTGTAATTTTTATCATAGGTACACTTCAACTGTGAGAGACGGAATCTAAAACAAAAATCCAGAAAATCACATTGTATGATTTTTAAGTAATTAATTTGCATTTTATTGCATGACATAAGTATTTGATCACCTACCAACCAGTAAGAATTCCGGCACTCACAGACCTGTTAGTTTTTCTTTAAGAAGCCCTCCTGTTCTCCACTCATTACCTGTATTAACTGCACCTGTTTGAACTCGTTACCTGTATAAAAGACACCTGTCCACACACTCAATCAAACAGACTCCAACCTCTCCACAATGGCCAAGACCAGAGAGCTGTGTAAGGACATCAGGGATAAAATTGTAGACCTGCACAAGGCTGGGATGGGCTACAGGACAATAGGCAAGCAGCTTGGTGAGAAGGCAACAACTGTTGGCGCAATTATTAGAAAATGGAAGAAGTTCAAGATGACGGTCAATCACCCTCGGTCTGGGGCTCCATGCAAGATCTCACCTCGTGGGGCATCAATGATCATGAGGAAGGTGAGGGATCAGCCCAGAACTACACGGCAGGACCTGATCAATGACCTGAAGAGAGCTGGGACCATAGTCTCAAAGAAAACCATTAGTAACACACTACGCCGTCATGGATTAAAATCCTGCAGCGCATGCAAGGTCCCCCTGCTCAAGCCAGCGCATGTCCAGGCCCGTCTGAAGTTTGCCAATGACCATCTGGATGATCCAGAGGAGGAATGGGAGAAGGTCATGTGGTCTGATGAGACAAAAATATAGCTTTTTGGTCTAAACTCCACTCGCCGTGTTTGGAGGAAGAAGGATGAGTACAACCCCAAGAACACCATCCCAACCTTGAAGCATGGAGGTGGAAACATCATTCTTTGGGGATGCTTTTCTGCAAAGGGGACAGGACGACTGCACCGTATTGAGGGGAGGATGGATGGGGCCATGTATCGCGAGATCTTGGCCAACAACCTCCTTCCCTCAGTAAGAGCATTGAAGATGGGTCGTGGCTGGGTCTTCCAGCATGACAACGACCCGAAACACACAGCCAGGGCAACTAAGGAGTGGCTCTGTAAGAAGCATCTCAAGGTCCTGGAGTGGCCTAGCCAGTCTCCAGACCTGAACCCAATAGAACATCTTTGGAGGAGCTGAATGTCCGTATTGCCCAGCGACAGCCCCGAAACCTGAAGGATCTGGAGAAGGTCTGTATGGAGGAGTGGGCCAAAATCCCTGCTGCAGTGTGTGCAAACCTGGTCAAGACCTACAGGAAACGTATGATCTCTGTAATTGCAAACAAAGGTTTCTGTACCAAATATTAAGTTCTGCTTTTCTGATGTATCAAATACTTATGTCATGCAATAAAATGCAAATTAATTACTTTAAAATCATACAATGTGATTTTCTGGATTTTTGTTTTAGATTCCGTCTCTCACAGTTGAAGTGTACCTATGATAAAAATTACAGACCTCTACATGCTTTGTAAGTAGATGTGTCACATGCAGGTATTGCACCCCAGAAAGGCCATTTAGAGTGTCAGTTGGTGTGTCACTAAGCATTTTCAATGAATGTTCATCACCTTTCACATTGTAACGTTGTTCTATGGATTATCAGTAGTGCTGTTAACAGGAATCAACACCCTGGAGCGCAGTGTCACCAGGGTTAGACTACAGTATGTGTATGGTCAACACCCTAGAGTGCAGCGTCACCAGAGTTAGACTACAGTATGTGTATGGTCAACACCCTAGAGTGCAGCGTCACCAGGGTTAGACTACAGTATGTGTATGGTCAACACCCTAGAGTGCAGTGTCACCAGGGTTAGACTACAGTATGTGTATGGTCAACACCCTAGAGTGCAGCGTCACCAGAGTTAGACTACAGTATGTGTATGGTCAACACCCTAGAGTGCAGCGTCACCAGAGTTAGACTACAGTATGTGTATGGTCAACACCCTAGAGTGCAGCGTCACCAGGGTTAGACTATAGTATGTAGAGTGCAGCGTCACCAGAGTTAGACTATAGTATGTGTATGGTCAACACCCTAGAGTGCAGCGTCACCAGAGTTAGACTACAGTATGTGGTCAAATGAAGCCAGTGGGTCTCACTGTTACAGAATTGAAAGAGGGGTCCACTTTGTGTGTGTGTGTTGGACCTACTGGAGGCTGCTCTGCCCCGTCCTCAGTGGGCCGTGACATTGCCCCCTTTTGTTTTGACTGGGCCTCTTGACCTTGTGGGCAATGCCACCCAATCTCTCAATGGGACAAGGCTCTATGTTGGCTTAGCCACCCAATCTCTCAATGTTGGACTCTTATTCTGGGAGTCCTCAGACATTCATCCATTGGACAAGCAGGGATGGCATGTGGCTCTGGCTCTAATGGGCTGTTCACTGCATTCAGAGGACCATTTCACTGTTAGTCTACACCTGTTGTTTTACGAAGCATGTGACAAATACAAATTTGATTTGAACCTCTGTTGGTTTTTGTTGTTGCAGTAATTACATGCATCTATACATATTGTGTGTGTGTGTGTGTTCTATTCTGGTGTGTGTGTGTTCTATTCTGGTGTGTGTGTGTTCTATTCTGGTGTTGTGTGTGTTCTATTTGATTTATTAGGATCAACATTAGCCGATGCCAATGGCGACAGCTATTCTTATATATATAGCGAAAAAGAGATTACAGACAAAATACTTTACAATTTACATACATTTAAAACATTAACATGTAGTGTGTGTGTGCATCTATCAGTTACACATACATGTCATTACATACACACAACAAGTAGGTCACATGGGGGAGAGGCGTGGTGCCGTGAGGTGTTGCTTTATTAGTTTTTTTGAAACCAGGTTTGCTGTTCACTTGCGCTAAATGAGATGGGAGTTCCATGCACTCATGGCTCTGTATAATACTGTATGCTTCCTTGAATTTGTTCTGAACTTGGGGACTGCGAAAAGACCCCTGGTTGCATATCTAGTGGGGTAAGTGTGTGTGTCAGAGCTGTGTGTAAGTTGACTGTGCAAACAATTTGAATTTTCAAACACATTGTTTCTTATAAAAACAAGAAGTGATGCAGTCAGTCTTTCCTCAACTCTTAGCCAAGAGAGACTGGCATGCATAGTATTTATATCTGCCCTCTGATTACAATGAAGAGCAAGACGTGCCGCTCTGTTCTGGGCCAGCTGCCCTCTTTGTTAAGGGTTTCAGTGACTTCATTAGCTGTGGTTGCTGACGCGTATATGGTTAAATCATCAGCATACATGGACACACATGCTTTGTTTAATGCCAGTGGCAGGTCATTGGTAAAAATAGAAAAGAGTTGAGGGCCTAGAGAACTGCCCTGCGGTACGCCACACTTTACATGTTTGACATTAGAGAAGCTTCCATTAAAGAAAAGCCTCTGAGTTCTATTAGATAGCTCCTAATCCATGATATGGCAGACGTTGAAAAGCCATAACCCAAGTTTTTTCAACAGGTTATGGTCAACAGCTCCCACAATCTTCTTATCAATTTCTTTCAACCAAACATCAGTCATTTGTGTCAGTGCAGTACATGTTGAGTGCCCTTCTCTATAAGCATGCTGAAAGTCTGTTGTTAATTTGTTTACAGAGAAATCGCATAAAATTGGTCAAACATCATTTCTTCCCAACAGTTCGCTAAGATCTGGCAGCAAGCTGATAGGTCTGCTGTTAGAGCCAGTAAAGGTCACATTACCGCTCTTGGGTAGCAGAATGACTTTGGCTTCCCTCCAGGCCTGAGGACAAATACTTTCCTCTAGGCTCAGATTAAAGATATGACATATATGAGTGGCTATAGAGTCAGCTACCATCCTCAGTAGCTTTCCATGTAAATTGTCAATGCCAGGAGGTTTGTCATTATTGATCGACATCAATCATTTTTCCACCTCTCCCACACTAACTTTACAAAATTCAAACTTACAATGCTTTTCTTTCATTATTCATTTTAATATGATGGCTCACTGTTAGTTGTTGGCATTTCCTGCCTAAGTTTGCCCTCTTTATTCAGGGGTGTGTGTGCGTGTGAGCACGCACCTGTGCGTGTGTGTATGCGTGTGTGTGTGTGTCCTTACTCTGGACCCTCAGCGTGGAGTAGGTAGAGTCATCTGCTGTGGCATATGGCAGACGGTGGCTCTCTCCCAGAACCCCAGCCATAGAAACACACTCACTAGAACAGACATCCAGATCTGATCTGATCTGATCTGATCTAGGGCTGGGTGATGTGGCCTAAAATTCATATCTCGTTTTTTTTTTTCAAACTTATGGCCGATTCACGATATACAGTATATCTAGATTTTTTAAAACGTTTTCTCTAAATAAGATTTGTTGCACAATTCAAGGTCAATACACTGCATTTCAAACAGACAGGAATAATCTAATGAATTCAGGGCTTGTGAAGTTATACCTAGGCTAAATATAAGCCTTCCACAACCATAAGACCCACTAATAATGTAATTATTTTATCAAAATAGTTTAACCTTATTTTTTGCAATAATCACTGATCTGGCTTTCAAGTCTGGTCTATGAAAATGTCATTTTTGTTACAAATGTAACCAGAACCATGCAGATCCACTAATAATGACCAACTTCTGGTAGCAGGCGTTATAGACAATTAACACAGGTCTCAAAACAATCTATCAAGCACAAGACCACGTGCTAGTGAGTAGCCAGCTAATCTTTATAATGAGCCAACTTAGATCGATTTGCTCGCTAACAAGGTAGAACAGTTGAACTGTTATGAATACACCCTCCTGTCCGTCTCCAACTGTTTGAACCACATAGCCTGTTCACTTTGTTTAGATGTGGCCTACCTGGATAAGAACATGCTTATTTCTCAGAATGAGAACGAGTTGCCA